ACCGCTCCGGCCTCGCGTGCGGCGAAGGGCAGAGCCCCCCGCAACAGCTTTTGGAGCTGCAGACGGTGCAAGCGACTCCAGCTGTTGAGACATCACCCTCAGGGTCGCCCCACCTGGGAGCCCCCAGATGCCGCGGGGGTCGAGCAGGGGAAGGGAACCGGATTTGTTTTGGGGAGCAGGGGTGCGACGAGGGGCACAGGCGAGGTCCGCAGCCTGCTGGGGGCTGCAGCATCACGGATGAGTCCTGGTTGCCATTGCAGTGTCAGGGCTGCAGGGAGCTCAGCCATTCCCTCTGCCCCGTGGCTCCCGGGGGAGCCCTGCAGAGTGTCTCGTGGATGGAGCTGGGACTCCCTTGTTCGGCATTCACACTGTTCCTCTCCTCTTCCTTGACCCTCAGGGACAGGCGGTGCTTGTTGGGAGCATGTCCATCCTGGTGGCCTGTGCTGGCAGAACCCTGGGTGCGCAGTGGGTGCTCAGTGCAGCCCTGACCTTTGGCCCCCTCTGCTCCACAATGGAACCCGCTTGGTATTTTCATAGCATCATAGAATCCCAGGCTGGTTTGGGTTGGAAGGGACCCTAAAGCTCATCCAGTTCCGACTGTCATCCCAAAAGATAACTGACATCTCAACCCCCCTGTCATGGGCACAACACTTTCTGCTAGGCCAGGTTGCTCCAAGCCCCATCTAACCTGGCCTTGAGCACTTACAGGGATGGGGCAGCCACAGCTTCCCTGGACAACCTGGGCCAGGGTCTCACGACCCTCATAGTGAAGCATTTTCTCCCAACGTCTAATCTGAATCTCCCCTCTTCTAGTTTTAAGCCATTTACCCTATTTTAAGGCCTTTCATCTCACACTGCCCTGCACAATGGCATTTTCAGGGCCAGCTCCAGGCATTTTCCCCCTCTCTTCCCTCCCACCTCAGCACCAGGAGCTTCCCTGATGCTCTGCTTGGTTTGGCCTGCTTGATGCCAGCTCCCAGGTATTAGCAGGCACTGGCAATGTGGGCACTCCTGACCCCGGCTGGAGCAGGACGAGGGGAGTCCTGCCGGCAGCACCGCTCCCTGTTTATTAACCCAGATTACCAGGAGCTTGTGGCTGTCTGGCGCTGGAGATATGCTGGAGAGGTGGGATGGAGCAGCCTCCCCCGCTGTGGTGGGATGGGGCTGTTGGCCACCCTGGGGAAATGTGCTGGAGGCTGGTTATGAAGGACTTGCTTTAGGTCCAGAGTGGGCTGGCATCACAAGTCTTGCACCCAGGGACTGGCAAAGCAGGTGCTGGCACCCAGATTGTAGAACTCAGTGCCAGTGGCAGATCCTGGCCCAGCACGTGGCATGGTTGCACATTGCAGGGAGTGGAACAGCCTCCCCTGTATATTCCTGTAAATAAAGAAAAATGACTGAGAGAATGAGCTGGAATTATAGCCCTTTCTGACTCCTGGCTGTGCATGAGCCAGGCTGCTTGTCCTGCTGTGCCTGCCTGCTCTGGGAAGGGGGCAACCCCAGGGAAGAGACTGAAGGATGCAAAGGCCCATCAGCAGGGATGCGGACCACCTTGAGTGAGCTCTGCAGCTGTGGGATCTGCCAAGGGGAGCTGCTGCCCTGGCCCGATGAAGTACCTTCCCCTGTGGGCACTGAGCCCAGCCATGCCAAGGGGAGAGCTGAGCCCCAAGCTGTGCTGTGGGGGTGCTGGCACCTGCTGCACTGCCTGCCTGCTGCCTGCCCCTCTGCCTGCCCCTGCCAGCGGGCAGAGGAAGTCTCTCTGCGGGATTCCGATGGCAGCCATCAGCTCTGCTCCTCCCGGGCTCCCGCTGTGGCCCAGGGTTTCAGAAGCTCCTTGGCTGGGCAGTAATTCCCCTTCCCTTTGATTTATTGTTCCCGGACTGGACGTCCTCCTCCTGCCAACCT